CCTTTATTGCTTGGGACACTGGCTGGACCTCATCAATAGTGTCTGTGCCCTGCGGGATGCTGGCACAGCAAACAGCAGGGAGCTTCCGCCAAGCTCTGGCACCTGTGTGGTTCATTGCACACTAACTCGCCAGAAAAGATGACAGTATGGATAATGTATATTTACAGTCACCCACTCCTGTGGTGCGGGCTCCACTGCAAGGGACTCCAGCATCCGCTGTTTGAGTTGAAAACCGCCAGTGTTCACATTTGGCACAGAAGTAACTTTGCATCTGTAGACTTCAGTGAAACCAGAGAGATCCTAGATGTGAAAAACATGCGCTTACGGGGAAGGAACTGCCCGTTCCAAATAGCCTTGTGCACTTACAGAAGGAAAACACAACTACAGCTTAAAAAAATGCCACAAACATTTTGTAAATAAACCAGGCTTCATTGCTCTCAGAAATAATACCGTGTCAGTTCCAAGTTTGGCTGAAGCCTGCTGGGCACAGACTGGAAGGTAAGGACACGTAGCATGCCGCTTTGAACACGCTAGGAGGCCAAGTGGAAGAGTCCTCACAAAGGAACGCAGCAAATAAAGGTAAGACACATGGAAACATACGCAGGAGCAGGAACACAGTCTAGGAGACCTAGGCAATTCCAATACTATGCTTGCAATGATGTGTTGCTTTCAGCAGTATGGAAGTCATCTGTCAACAGCTGCAGTGTAGCAATTAGTCGTCAATAGTTGGCAACCAGAAGGCCTACAAAAGAGAGAACGAACATCTTGTACAGAGCAGAATGCAAATCTCTCCTACAGCAGCACACTGCAGGAACCAAACATGCTACCTTCTATACACATGCAGACAGAGAACACCAAAGAGGCTGCAACCCTCCCAGTAGTTTAGGGTTACAACACCTGCTTACACTGGTTTGCTTTGCATTGCACACACTCCAGAGCAGGTGAGTCTTACACAAATGGAAAATACCAGCCACGTAGTGACCTAAAGAACTTATATTTGTGTGCACATTCACTCACTGCTCTGCCTTCATGTGTGTGTGCAAACACTGGCTTGCCAGGGGCACTGCCCCACATATCTACCTACCAGGCAGGGCACAACAGACGGGCTTGGCTCTCACCGAAGCCTAAGGAAACACTCAGTGACAATGAGCCTTCTCAGATTCATTTCTAAAAGGGTCAAGACCAAACTGAGTTATGAGGAACTTAAAACACTTTCCTTACCATATTGGAACATGCGCTAGCAAAAGTCATGAATTTTGGATTGAACTGCAGACAGGTTATAGGACCTGTGTGTTTCCCATCCAGCACAGCCACCTTCATACCGCTTTCCCCATTCCAAACATGAATCTTCCCATCCTCTGAACCTGCAGGCAGGCATGGAAAACAAGACGTGCAAGATACATTGGAGATACCAGCAGAGAAAATCAAGTACAAAACCCTTCCTGTCAGAGAACTGTAGGAATAAGCATGCCTCATCTTCATAGCTTAACCTTTAAAATTCCCAAATTATCACTAGGGCATTTACAAAACGTTCCTAGAGTCTACACATCTGAATCCAAACAGCAGGTTTATATCCTTGCACTGCAGAGATTCAACCGCACAACACAGTGCAACACTATTCTGGCAAAGAGGTTATCAACTACAGCCACCCAGCAGAAAAGGAGAGCTGAGGCCATTCAACCAAGGAGAAAAGACCCTTGCCAACTTGCACCAATATGCGAGAGGCCAAAAGCTGGGTGTAAGAGTCACTATCCCACACGAGGTCTCAGCTCAGACACAGACTGAAATAATTCACTTGGTAGGCACAGAATCACTGAAGGTAACCAGATTTCAATGCACTGTGTCAAATATCAGAAGCTTCAGTGGAGATGCCAACTCTCCACGCTGCTATAGCAGGACAGGTTTTTCACTTTAAAATGGAATTTTGCAAACTCTTGAGGCTAGGCACTTCACATTTTTATAATTCAATTCTACTTTAGTCTCATTTTCAATAGTATTCCTAATAAAAATGCAGGGAATTTTCTTCTGGTTCTCTATATGTATAGCCTTTCAGGGAGGAAAAAATCAAGCAGCACAAGTTACAGCTTAACCAAATGTAAAAACTGAGCAGGAACAAGCATTTTGGAACTTCTTCCATTATAGTTTTTATCTGGAAGGGCACAGCAGGAAGGTAAATATGTGCAGTAAAGTGCTTTTCAGGCACAGACTAAGCAAAGATGTCGCACCCACCTTCTCTGCAATTGAGAAGTGCTCAGCCAGAACAATAAAAAAAAAAAGCTTTGCCATGACCATCACTCATCCAGGAAACATAAGGATCCAGATACCAATTATCACAAAGTTAAACAGATTTGACACACCACTGAACAAAAAAAGTGCTAGGAAAGGGCAGCACCACACAGATGTGCCTGATTTGCATTCATGGGTCCTGCTGGGGAGCAGAGGGGAGCAGAGTGACTGAAGCGCTTATTTTGGGGTGCCCAACGTGCAGCACCAGGCTTTACAGGAGCTGCAACTACTTTTTCCCCCCAGTCACTTCACTCAAGAGTCCTTCCTGCAGGGTAAGAAAGGGGGCCTGGGCCAGAGGAATCATGTTGGGAGCCATCAAGCTGATGCCTACTGCTTCTACCAAGGGTTAAGCAGAGCTCATTCCACAGACACGGTGATTTACAAGAGCCACGTGGACAGAAGATGCCGGTGCAGAAAAGTCCCCGAGAGATGTACAAATGCACCAGGCTATAAGACCAATCACCCAAGCACAGACAGGTGCCTTGCTCATCAGGGAGTGGAGGGCAGACCACAACATACAGCCCCAAAATGCTTTCAGAGGCAGCACGTGAGCACATCCTAGCCACAGGATAAGGATCACTGACACAAGTTATGTGACAGATCTCCACGCATTACAATAGTTTGCTAGTTTCTTATCTTTTTGGAATAGTGTTCACATAAAAGGAAAAAAAAAAGTCTTCTTGCAGGCTCATTTACATTTCAGCCTAGAAAATGCTGAGTAAACTAACAAAACAGAAAACGGTAATGCAAAGAAAGCTTACAGCCACACTGCATTATTGAAATACATTCTGCTTTCCAACACAGGCACAGCTTCAGTACTGTGTAACACACTTAATTTCAGACCACTGAAATTCTTTCAAGAAAAATTAGCTTACCTATCATGATGAACTGAGAGTCTGGTGTGAACGATGCCTCCAGCGTGACAGCCTTGCTATTGTTATAACCCTACGGCACAGAACAGGAGGATACATAGTAGTGTGTCCACAGGAATCCTGCAACCAAAGGGTACCTGCTCCCAAAACTAACACCCAGTTTCAAGTAGGTAACACAGGCAACATGCTCACCCCAAATGTATGCAGGACAGCTCCTTTAAAGGCATCAATCAGTCGAATGAACCCTCCATTAGTCGATATAAGGATGAGTTTGCCATCGTTACTGAACTTCAGGCCTGTCCATTCACATGTTCGATCGTACTGCATCTTAAATGTAGCAAATGGCCCCTTCAAAGAAAAAATGATGTAATATGAAATATGATGTAGAATATGATGTAGACTCTATATGCATTGCTGCTAACAAAAGTCTGCTTTTAACTTTAGCTCAGGAAGAAGTTTAAGATTTCTAACTGAAGTCAGAGAAAAAGCTTTTACCAGTCCTACTGTCATCTGACTTCTTCAAAACCATGAAAGTATGCTCAGTGCTTAGCCAGTTCAGCTGCCCACTCAATTACAGTTTCCTTTGAAATTTCCATCCTCTCTGACAATCCTGGCTCCATCTTTGCCAGCGTTCTTCCAGAATGAACAGTAAGGGAAAAAAAACCCAAATAAACAGGAATTTGGAACAGGGTAAAGAGTTTGCAGAAGTAAACTTTAACATTGATTCAAGAGTGGATTTCAGGACTTGGTGACAGCACGTACCCCTTTCTGTCTGCGAGAGATGTACTTACCAAAAACTCTCTAGGTGCTAAGTAGGCATCCCAGAAATAAACTAGAGTAAAGAAATCCAGCCTCTGAGCACTGAGTTTAGACTACTTCTTGCAAGCCAAGAAGCACATGAAGTGAAGTTAGGGTAGCTCACCTTGTCAAAAGAACGGAGATCGTAAAGCTTCACCATTTCAGAATTGACTCCAGCAGCAAAAATCAACCCTTCTGGGTCAAAAGAACATACAGGCTTCCCCTGGAGATGCATTAAACCCTAGAAAATAGAAGGAGTCCAAATTACTTTTGCAAAACTGATGCTCACATTTCTACCAGCACCCTTTCAACCTGCTGTTAGCAGGGCAGCAGCTTATGGGCAGAACAACTGAATTTCAATTGTAAATATTGAGGTTTTACGAAGATTCAGAACTCAGCTTCTCAATACCAGCTCTGACTACTTCAGGTCATCATATAGAGCTTCCAGTTTGCTGCAGTGACAAAGTTCACATTAGAAAAAATGAAGACCTCATTCAGGCTGTCATCCACCCAGAAGGTACACAGAGAAGGGAGGATGATGTGGCTATATTAATAACCATACCAGATAGCGCCACAAAGCACTGCTCCTGGGATTGACAGCAGTGCTCTACCAATTATGGTTGTGAAGGAAAGGAAAAAAAAACAAAACTATTTTGAAAGCAAGTAGAAACAGCTCCAGTAAACACCACTGCTGATCTTTCCATGCCTGTTTAATTAAAACTCACACCTTCTGCAAGCCAACAGACCTTACATATTAAAACTGACAGACAGGGTACTATCAGTGCTTATTTTTAATGTTAACTTTTCCTCAACTCACATAGTAACAGAAGTCTTAAAAAAGTTTGGTAAAAGCCAACAAGAGATAGATAGATAGATATAGCTTTCTGCATCCTGACTAGCAGGTCTGCACGTTAACCAAAATTCCTTTACGTAACTGCATGCACATAAATAAGAACACAGTTAATTAAATCAACAATATATTTAAGAAGTGTCTGCATTTCTGAAATACCATTCTTCTCTAAAGAAGTCTAGAGACCTCACTACTTCTCTCTTCTTTCCAATTTAGCTGTTTTCGCTGTGATCTCTGAAGGCTAGGCAGTAAACCAGCCAACACTCAGGCTCTCTCAAGTGGGACATTTCTGGTTTCCCGGTAATATTTCTAGGCACAACAGCTGCCATCTCATGGGCAAATCAAAAATTACAAGTAACACTTCCTCAATCTGTTTCCCAAACTTTGCTGAATGCAGCTTCCAGTTACAAGTCCTAGATTTACCATTCAACAACTTCAGGCATCAGCATAAATCACAGAACCGCTACTGAATTTACAGCCCTATCTCACCTATAGCAACTTTGAGATTGAGATTCATCCCAAGGGAAACTTGCACACTGGCATTAAAGGCACACTCCCAGAGAAATGCAAAATTAGAACCTTGGTTTTAAGACAGATAAACCATTTTGTAAGAAGTGTAACCTTTTCTTCCTTTTGCATTTACAGTTACATCATCTGGAAGAAGTAAACGGCCCTCTCATAAGCAAAATGGTTCCACTGAGATGGGAAAATATGAGAGCACACCACTATGTATTCAAATATAGGGACAAAACAGCTCATTGCCAATAAAAGGTGGAGATTCTACTCCTAGTCTTTCATTCCTGTCCCTGCTGCCACCTCTGGTACTTTTCTTAGCCCACATAAGCCCGATTCCACCAAAACAAAGTGAAGTATTCCAGCAAAATAAAGAAATTAAAACAAATAGGGTTTTACCTTGCTATAAAGTTAAATCTGCTCACAGACAGGCCTGATGAACAACAAAGGTGATGCAAGGAGATGGTAGATGATATGGCTGTTGAGTTACTTTAGATCATCAATTTCTTTATCAAATTTAATTGCATCAAGGCATAAACTTTAAACACACACTATAAACACTCAGATAAGATGCATTCCTGACCCAAGAGAGATGCCAGCTAAGTGAGAACACTCTGCATGAAGTAGCAGCCTGATGACACCCAGCTCTTCTCTTGTTTCATCAGCTGTGGGTGTTATTTCTCACTCTTCCCAGTGCCTCTCCAGCAAAGACACAGGTGAAAGTGAGCAGTGTTACACAACGTGACAGATATTTCACAGAGAGATTTGATCGAGGCTCCTTTAGCACTCCAGGAAGATGTCAACACTGAATCAGCAGCATCCATTTCTGGCAGTATTTTTGTTCTACAAGCAGCACACATCCATTTTTTTCATCCTTCTAACTGAAAATGCAACACACTACCTGCATGAATGTTATATCCTACCTGGCAATTTGGAGAGCGGAGATCCCAAAGTCGAATAGTTTTATCAAGGGATCCAGAAATAAAGGTATCATCCACTGGAGACATTGAAAGAGCAACCACTCTGCAACACCAAAGATCACATACATCAGAGACACACAAAAGTAACAAGTGTTGTGTACAAGTTTGTAGTTGCTATGCACAGTTCTACAAAGCAAAAAATGGAGTGAATCGAGTGTAACGTATCTTAAGCTCATTCGTTATTTCAACTTTTCCTGTACTGTCCCCAAGCCACATCTTACCTTTTTGTATGCCCTGGAAAATACCGAATATACTTGTTGTCATGCAGGGAGAGGTATCGGATTGTATCTGAAAAAAATAAACCATAAGCTTCATTATGCCATGGACCGAATGTTATCTGGAAGTGGTCACACAGTACACTTGCTCCCCACGGCAACAGCAAGCTTGCACAGTGATTAAGGCTGGTGATTTGATTTCAAGTCAGAGTTTGAAACAGAATCAAATTAGAAACAGACATAAAACAACTTGGTTTCCAAGGCAGAACTGGAGATCAGGCACCAGGAAAAGATACTTCCCCCAGTCTGAAGACATATTACATCTTAAAGGCAAACTTTCATGTGATTTCTACAAATTAATTTCAAAGTTGCTAAAATTTAAGTAACAGTAGGTTTTATTCCATCATTCTCAAATGTGAGAGTATCAAATTTACAAAGCTGATTCTACCACTTTTTATCGCTATACAGCACAAATCTTGCTGTCTTACCTATGCAGGTATCCAGCAAATAAGTCTTCAACTAAACAGTAAGCATAGGAAGTGTGTGAATTCTAGCATTTAGCCAAAGAGAAGATAAAAATATGAACTTCAAATCCCAGACAAGACCACTGAAAAGTAGGAAATCTCTCTTTTTTTAATCTGACAATCAATATTCACACATGCTTTGCACGTAAAGCAGCTAAACTTCACGAAGAGGACACAGAAGTAATCTAAAGCTTAGTCTACTTAAAGCAATCTTAAAAATAGATTGAATAAATCAGAGTAGAACCACAACATCTCACAAGTGCTAATTTTATTCTGAGTACAGATGAACATACTAAGAGTACTCCAGAATTTCAGAAGATGCTGTTAAGACTTTTTCCCAAGTTTAAAAGAAATCCTTGTAAGAGGAAACAATTACTAAAACACAGAAGCCACTTTTCAGTCTCTATGTGCAGATCCATCTGAGCAACGGAACATGAAGAGCACAAGTTAAACCACTGATATCTGAAAGCAACGTCAGCAAAATCCCTTCTCACAAAGGACACTAGTTTAAGCTGCTGCTGGATGGAAAATGCTGGCATTATGCACCTGCATTATAGGCTCTGTAGTGTTGTAACAGCAATTCCTGATGAGGCTCCAAAGATAAACTGAAGGAAAAGGACATTTTTACTTTTGACTCAGAAGACCAAGAGCTGACAGGATGTAAAATGCACAGAGCATTTTAACACTCATAGGGGCTGCTGTGTTCAGAGCTTTCTGAAAGGCTTATTCAGCAAAATTTAGTTTCTGTGAAAAAATGAGCAAGTTGCCATTTTTGCCTGAGGTTTCACATCAAGCTGAGATCAGGATTCTAGACCACCCTCCAGTATTTGACAAGAGAACTAAAGCAGACAAATCAAGATGGAACTATAATCACAATATGAGGAGTTGGAAGGGACCTCGAAAGCTCATCCAGTCCAACCCCTGCCAGAGCAGGATCACCAGACCAGGTCACACAGGAACACGGCCAGGCGGGTTTTGAATGTCTGCAGAGAAGGAGACTCCACAACCTCTCTGGGCAGCCTGGGCCATGCTCTGGCACCCTCATAGTGAAAGAGTTTTTCCTTATGTTCACGTTGAATCTCCTGTGCTCCAGCTTGCACCCATTGCCCCTTGTCCTGTCATTGGACATCACAGAGCAGAGCCTGGCTCCTTCCTCCTGACACTTGCCCTTTACATATTTATAAACATGAATGAGGTCAGTGGCACACCACTCTGAAAGGCTCCAAGTGTCCTGAGGTGACTACTCAAAACATAAATCCCCTACACCAGTGTCACACCCCATCACAGCTAGAACTACGTGCTTCAAGCACGCCGTTAAGACACATCTCTAGTTTTCCCTGCAGGAACTGTTGTTACCTGATTTCCGAAGTATCCATGCAGAATTTCATCTTCCTTTGCTAATGAGGAAGCACTGGGAAACTGTGATCCTTTGTGATCCCTTTTGTTGGCAGCGCTCTGTCCCAGGCAAGGCAGTGGCCTGTACAGTTATCTCCTGTACCGGGTGGTATCATAGACCCTCAAACTGTACAAACTACTACCTCAGCCTGGAATCAGGCGAGAGGAGCTAGGTTCAAAGGTCTTGAGGAAATCTTCAGATGTAAGGGGATTGGTAGCAACTCCCGACACATAAAATGCTTTAGAGCAAGCACCAGCACTTCCGTAACACGTACCTGGGTTAATTTTCCCTCCTGATAACTGTGTAACAAGTTAAATACAACATACCTTGCCCAAGACTGCATGCATTAGTATCTGGACCCCTACAGAACACACTGCTGGTTTTATTAGGCTTATGGTTCATAACAGCAACTTTCACATTCTACCTCTCTCTTTTCTTCTAATCAAGTATTTCCCATACTGCTACCCTGCAGGATGAAGATCCAGAAGTTCTGGTTTCTCAAAGGCTTACCAGTGCTTATAAAACCTCACAGCTTAAAATTACATCAAAAATGATTTGTTACATTATATGTTCATTCACTGTAAATAAAATCCAAGTCAGAAATGTGATGTAACAAAGTAATAATGTAATTCTAAAAAAAATCACCAGGCTTTGAAACAGACTAAAACAGGCAAGTACTTCCCATCACACTTTTAACCTTTTGACACTACTAAATCCAATTCTGTTGGAAACTTCCTTGTTCCTCCAGTTTCAGGCCCAGCTTGTTCTGGTTTGACTTGACTTCCTAACTCTTAACCTCCATCTACTCTAAATTCATACTCTTTAAAATTCCTTAAGTAACCTAGCACACACTGCAAGGCACCAGCATCTCTACTGTCAAGCTCCATCTCTGCAAATGAAAAAAAAACAAAACCACTGTTCCAGAAATGCTTCGGAGTTCACAAATATAATGTTAAAGTGCTCCACTAAGAGACTTGCTCACTAAACCCTCAGACACTAACTACAACAAACAACATTGAGACAAAATTTGAAATTAACACTAACTGCTTTCAAACTTAGGCAGTATTGTCAGACAGAATTAAGGTACCTATCTGTGCCAGATCTTAAATTTGAATTTTTAATTAAACTACAATACATTAATAGAGAGTCTGTGACCTCACAGGTCTGTCTGGTGATCTGCCACTGAACTTCCTGTCCTCCCTGCTGCGTACAGAGAATGGCAAAACATTGCCTTCCTTTGTGGTTGACGAGTGTGTAACAGACAGCCACAGCGTTTAGCCCACCTTCTGGCCATACACTCCTATCTCAAATCACACACAGAAATTAAGGCATAGAGGCTGACAGCACTGGTATCAAACAGCAAAGTGAACAGCAGAATTAAGAAATGAACCTTTATGGCATTAACTACATTTAATCCATTAGTTATTGCAGCAACGAACAAAACTCACATCAGCATGCTCAAGAGAATATCACCAAGTTGCATATTAGAGTTCAACATTAATTCCTCTGTCTCTGACAGTGTATTTATCACTGAAAAGTTACTCTCATTTCCTCCCCAGCTCTTTAGAGCTATTTATCCAGGCATGTAGTTATGAGAGTAAGATTAAACATGCTCAACTCCAGTGGATCACTTACCATCTATTTTGTTGGAGCTGTACACAACAGTGTTGGCAGCATGTGTGTACCTGATGAGGTCTACTCCATACTTCTTACTGTACAGCGTTCTCTTTGGTCTGTCAGAAGGAAGCAGAAATAATTGCACTCACTGTAACAAAAAGCTCAAACCGAAACTCACCACATTAACAAGGCCTGTTTTCATTGAGATATATTACAACATCATTTCAAGTGGTCAGATGTTTTCATACAAAGAAAGAAAGGCATTTGTATTTGATTTTCAAACAACCACCTTAGTGTTTTCTCCAAGACTACCCCTAGGCTTGAGGGGTTCCCTGTTAACACCTGCAAAATGCACTTGTCTCCTCCAAAAATTCTTTCCCATGTCTACTCTAAAAAGCATGTGAGGAGCCAGCATAACAAGCCCTTAATGTCAAGCAGTACTGCCTCTTCATTTCCTTGCCCATCAAAATCTCTAATTTATCTGCTGCTTATTTTATATAAAGCATAACTTGTCTATTTGCTCTATCTTACTTCAAAACCTGGAATAGGGTATCTCATTCACAACAGGGTTTCTCGGGTATTAACACAAGCATGTATATATACCAGCAGTTAGTCTAGAAAAACAAAATGGTAACAGACACTCTCAAACTACTGGAGAATTATACTCATATTTGGTCCTAATTAAAGCATAATATTCAAATATGTCATTTTGCAGCAAAGTTAGAGACATTCTGTTAAGAGCAAAGACAACATGCAGAACTAGATATTTTGGCGCCTGGTAAGCAAATTCTATACTGTAGTATTAGAAATTTAAACCACAAAGTTTAAACACAGAAGTAGCTGGTTAGTGAGTGTGTCTCGCAGCCATAGCTGCGGCTGTTTAAGTGGTGCAAGGTCTCCACCACCTTCCTTCCCCTTTCTTACTCAGCTGAGGTAGCATGGTGGTTTCAAATCTGGGCAGTCAACCAACAACGGTACCAATCAACATCAGAAATAGTACATTCACTTCCAGGACATATTTTCAATGCAGAAATTAATAACTCTGGTTATTACACAGGTCAACAAAATATTTTACCAACACAAACCAAAGACAACAGAATAGGATTGGAAGCAAACAGCAGGAGCCATTTAAACCTATACTGCTGCCAAAAGTAAAGTTTTGGACTACACCCTCAGACAAGGTATTTCTAAAATGCTCAATTTTTATCTTGTTTTCATTAGCCTCAGATTGACACACCCAAACAAGAGTGTGAGTTGGAGATTTTTCATTCTTAAAGATTAATTCGCAAACAGCAAAAGCCATAGGGCTTTAACTTCAAAAGAACTTGCTGGTGACAAGCTTCCATTAACAGAAAGCCAATACAGCACATGTAAGTAAAACCCATGCACCACCTGCACCCCTTGGACTAAATCTCAACATACTCTTCCTCAGCTCTTCAAGTAGATTTCTACATCAATTTTCAGATGCAAACATGCTAAAAATTGAAGACACATTAAACATAAATTTAGACACCAAAATTCTGTAACATCATGCCTGATACAGTTCCCCATACTGTCTGCAGTTACCTCAGCTATGCTGTTGACCAAACTGAAAAAACTAAACTGACCCCACCAACTTCAAAACTTACTAAGACTCTCATGCCTAGTCTGCCTCTTCCTTACCTATGAAAAGTTAAAAGCTTAGAAGATCTATTCAGAATAATATACATCAAAGGATATACAAAGACAAAAACTGACAGAGACAAAAGCACATCTACCCAAAAGAAAAGAAAGTATTTCTGTGTTTTAAGAAAGGTGAAGTTCTCATTTAAGCTGATACAAGCAGAAGCCTGTCACTTCACAAATGACCAACCACCTCTTCCCAATCGACTATTTAAAAACAGACAAGAAAACCAAGTCTTACATATTTTTTTAAACAAATCACAATCACTAAACATAATTCCAAGTTTAACGTTAATCTAAGCAGCCCACTTGCAAACCAAACAATATCAACGAAGAAAAATGCTTTACGAGACCACAGTCAAACCTGCTGTAAAGATGAAACAGAACACAGGCAAGGTTTGAAACATCACCTGTGCCTTAGGTTGAATCACTACTACTGCAAGTAAAACCACCGAGTACCAGGCTCACTGCTATGTCCTGTAAACACCACGGCTAAGCAGGAGTCCCAACCCATCACGTCTCTATTTCTATAAATAATACACAATTGGTACACACTGAAATAAAAGCCAAACTTTTGAGAGATCACCATTATATCATACGGGGTTACAAATCTGCAGCGGCGTCCTGTTCCCAGCCTCAAGGACTGCTGCACATCACAGCACACAACTCCGCCCTGAAAGTTTTCAGAGTTCATTCTTAAGTCCCAACAGACACAGGTAAGCCTCTTGGTTATGCTTTTGAGGCAGCCTATTGTGAAGGTATTTGCCAATGCAGAATGGGTTTAAAAAAAATATAATCAAAATTCAGTTGGTTACAGATTTTGAAATACAAGTGGAATATCTGGTCCAAATTTTTGGATGCTCATGAAAAAGCAGGACAAATTTTTCTAACTTGCTGCCTAAGCTCAGAACATACATAAGAGAATCTGTTTCAAGGAGATCACCACATCCTGTCAGCTCCTGGCTACACACTGCTGTCTAAACTGTCCTGACACTTTCAGAAACTGAAGATCACCAAGATGGGGCTCTGTCATATGGTAACAACTCTCGTATCTGTATGGCTCATTACCATATGGCAAAATCAAGCAAACTAGATGAGGGTGTACATAAAGTATAACCAAACACAGCTGCATTTTTTGTTCTACCAGCAGAACCCCTCATAACAGGGGAAAAAAAACCACACTAACTTTGTCACTTTCCCATGGGGAAAAGTTTTAACATTTGCTAAAGGGGGGAATCTTATCTTGAAACCCAGAGAGCAGGATATTTCCTCCTGGCCTTTATATTCATTAGCAATGGCATATACAAAAAGTGAGAGTTCCAGGCCCTTGAAATGGTTGTTTAAGAAAAAAGAAAAAGCAAATAAAGCCACAATAGGCCTGAAACGGACAAATTCCACCATGTCACTACCGTGATCATTCACAGATTTGATTTTTTGTCTCCACATGAATCTCCTGTGACAAAATAATTCACAGTTAAAACTTTCCAGGTGAGAGAAAAAAGTATGTCCTGCATCCCACGGTACCTCTAAAAGCCAGAATTACACTTTTAAGTCAATCAGTAGCACATGAGAAACTTTCAAATTAATTCTATAACCACTAGAGAAACACATCCTGAAACACAGGTTACGCTGATGAAACTGCTCTCACTGCCCTGTAGCACTGCAGCAGGCAACCACTGATCTTCTACTTAACTTAATTAAAGCAAACCCTCTGATTGCAAAGCAGATACCAGGACTAGATGGAGATAGAGATGAAAGGACCAAATGCCTCAAAACCCATTAAACTATTCTTTACAAGTTTGAAAGGGGAAGAGCAATCAATACCATCTGCATTAACATCCCTCAGCCCTTCTACGATTGTCTGTTGTCTATAATTAGGATCTAGGATACAATCCATGGCAGACATCGTACATATAAAGCTACCTATTCTTCCATAAACAAAAATAAAATAATTTCAAATAAGAGTTCACTCTATCAGATGGGGAACACCAACAACTTTAAGACATAAAGCAAGCAAACTAAACAGAATTGTAAAATAACATTTAAGTGGCCTACAAAATTAAAAGAATTTGAGAGAATTAGGAGGATGCAATCTTTCAGACACAAGAATGAGTCTGAGTTAGTCTGCTTGAAAAAGCAGGAAGATGAGGATTAGGAATACCTGGTTTACTAGAAAATTACGCAACACTGACAAATTTACTTTCTGGTACTCCCAAGCAATTTCTTCTACATTCCTGCATTTTTCTGTCCTTTTTAATCTCTCCTACAATACATGTGCTCTTTTTTCTTTCACTTCCTGTGTGTATAGGATGCTCTCTAGTCTTGACTTTACATAAAAAAACCCCACCTCAGAATTACATCTCTACACCAACCACATGAAAATGAAAACAACATTTAAAAGGATTTAAACCAGCCAAATGCATACTTGCAGCAACTGAGAAAGTTTTTAATGGAATGAATGACATCACTTGGCTCAATTTGTTTCAGCTCTCACAGAATACAAATGCCTTTTGCATACGTTCCAAGACACGAACTGCAAGTGTTACTTATTTGCACTTTTCTATCCTCTGAACAAGAGCACCATATCTCAAGTGCTGTGCAAATTTCTGGCGTTTTATCCCTAAGAGAGGATGAGAATCGTGTGATCAACGAAAGCAGCAAGATAAACTGGACAACTCTGTTCAGTGAGAAACAGACACCTTAATTCATTAATCTCAAGTAACAGAAATCAATAAACATCTTGATTGATTAAACATAAATTAAGACAACATTTGAAGATGCATGTAAATCACACACGTATTTTAACTGTGCTTTAGAGATAAAAATGCAACTAGAGAAAAGGATTTAAAGCACAGAGGACCACCTTTATCTGCAACATTCCCAAATACCACTTAGAAACTAGGCTAAGAAAAACACTATCAAGTTTCTAGAAATTATAATGAATACACACTACATGACATTAACCTTTTGGCTTAAAGTATTTATCCAAGTTACACTCAAATTAGGCTGTTTAAAAGGGCACATCTGTACAATGCTCGCAGCAATTACTTCTATTTTAATTAGTGAGACTTAAACCCAGAGAAGCCAGTTTGCATACCTGTAACAATCCCGAAGCCTAGAAATGTGACCAGTCTCAACCCCTTAAGCTTAACAACTATTTAGTTCTCACAGCAGTGAGCTCACACTTGGGAAATTACCATCGCTGGCTCCAACCTACCAGAGATAACGAGCAGAAACCAAGCCGCTCTCAACCCTGTGCCCCTCTTTAACGGTTTATACCTCTACTCCACCCTGCCTCGTCAGACACAGTTGAAGTTCCTCTCACAAACCTACACTACAAAACAACAAAAGCAAAGCTAAAGCTCACCAGGACAGATCCTCCATCTCCTCAGCGCAGCTTCTCCCCGAACGCCGCAACGGCCGCCAGCCAAAGGCGGCGCCCTTCACAGCCCCACCCCGCCCTAGAAACCCCCCCATCCCTCCCCAGGGCAGGCAACCCGCACCCTCCACCTGGCGGAGAGGCGGGCCAGGCCGGGTCCCCACCACTCACTTGCCCTCCTGGCAATCATAGAGAACGATGGAGTCGTCGTCGCTGCTGGAGATGACGGTCTCGCCGTTGGGGCTGAAGTCGAAGCAGTTGATCTTGTCCGAGTTCTCGCGAAAGACCTTGGCCACGCGGAAGCTCCGCAGCACGTTGTCCGTCAACTTCATCC